TACTTACAACCAGATTGACCATATTTTAATTGATTCAAGACACAAATCGGATATACTGGACGTAAGATCTTATCGTGGGGCAAACATAGATTCCGATCATTTTCTAGTTCTGGCAGAGGTTAGAGCCAGAATATCAAATATTCGTAAAGCTCGCGGAGAACGTCTGAAAAAATATGATGGTGAACAGCTAAAAAAAGAGACTACAAGAAAAAAGTTCCAGGAACAAATTGAAAGGAGGCTTGAAGTGACTGATGATTCTTCAGAAAGGGATGATGTTAACAGAGAATGGAATGTTATTAAGAGAGCTCTTATCGAAACAGGAGACCAGGTTGTGGAAAAGATCGAGAGAACCGGAAGAAAGGACTGGTTTGACAATGATTGTTTTATGGCAACTTATAAAAAGAATGAGGCTTATAAAAGAATGATAAGTTCAAGGCATGCAAGAAATGCTGAAAATGCTTATAAAGAAGCAAGAAGAGAAGAGAAGAAGATCCATAAAGAAAAAAAGAGATTATTTTTCGAAGATCTTTTTGAAAATGTTGAACATTTAAGGGGATCAAGGGAAAGCAGAGCTTTCTTTCGAGAAATAAACTTGGGTCGCAAGGAATTCAAGCCAAGAACAAACTCTTGCAGAAGCAGGGAAGGAACGATCTTAAGCGATAGAGAAGAGGTGCTGAACAGATGGAATGAACACTTTGACCATCTGTTGAATGGTGATGAGGAAGAAGACGAGATAGCAATAGACAATTTACAGATGCATAACCAAGAAATGGTTACACCTCCAACGTTGGAAGAGGTCATCATGGGAATTGACAAATTAAAAAACAATAAAGCTCCTGGCCCTGACACCATACCATCTGAATTAATAAAAGGTGGGGGAATGGAGGTTGCGAAGAAAATATATGATCTATTACTAATTATATGGGAACGGGAAGTAATCCCAGAGGATTGGAAAATTAGTTTGACTTGTGTAATTCATAAAAAGGGAGATGTTCTTGAATGCTCAAACTATCGAGGAATTAACTTACTTTGCACGAGCTATAAGGTATTCTCAAATATTTTATTCAATAGACTTACTATGTTTTCAGAGGGAATAATAGGAGAGTATCAAAGTGGTTTTAGAAGGGGAAGATCAACTACTGAGCAAATTTTTACCATTCGGCAGATATTGGAGAAAACGAGAGAATTTGGAATTGATTTGCACAACCTGTTCATTGACTTTAAAACCGCCTATGATAGTATTAACAGAAAAGCTCTGATCATGGCAATGAGAGAATTTAAAATACCAGAAAAATTGGTGAGATTGATTAACCTAACACTAAGTGAAACTAAAATCATGGTAAAAATACAGAATTGTTTATCAGAGCCATTAGAAATAAAAAATGGTGTGCGACAGGGAGATTCTTTAGCCTGTCTCCTCTTTAATCTAGCATTAGAAAAGGTAATAAGAGATTCAAAAATCAATAACAGAGGAACTATATTTAATAAGTCAATACAATTGTTGGCTTTTGCTGACGATATAGGAATTATTGCTCGAACACCAAGAGCACTTGAAGAGGCCTTTATTTCTTTAGAGAAAGAGGCCCTGAAGATGGGTCTAAAAATAAATGAAAATAAAACTAAATATATGCCTTGTACTAAAACAGCCCACAGGAGTACCCATCTAAAAATTGGGGGACATTCATTCGAGGTAGTGGACAGCTTCACGTATTTAGGCTCTGAAATAAATAACAGGAACGATGTAACTGCAGAAATACGAAAGAGAATCACAGCAGCAAATAGGTGCCTTTATGGATTAAGAAAGTTTTTAAGATCAAATGTAATCAAGAGAAAAACAAAGCTGTTATTATTTAAAGGCCTCATTAGGTCAGTTTTAACATATGCTTGTGAAACATGGACATTGACTCGTGCAGATGAAGAAATGCTGAGCATATTTGAGAGAAAGATATTACGGTGCATTTTTGGAGGAATTAATAAAAACGGTCAGTGGTTAAGAAGATCAAATTTAGAACTCTATCGATCATATAATGAACCAGACATCATAAGATTCATTAAGGTCCAAAAGATAAAATGGGCAGGCCACTTAGTAAGAATGGAAGAAGACCGTATTGTGAAAAAGATTTTTGATGCCCGGCCGACAGGAACACGTAGAAGGGGCAGGCCAAATCTCAGATGGCTAGATACCCTGGAGAAAGATTTATCTATATTAAAAATAAAGAATTGGAAGTCCATTGCCAAAAGAAGGACAGCTTGGAAAAAACTACTGGAGAAGGCCAAGGCCCATCCTGGGCTGTCGAGCCAGTGAGGAAGGAAGGAAGGATATTATACACAATATATTAAGAGGAAACACACTATCACTGCACTTTTGTGCAGAGCTATATAGTACTAACTATGAACTAACTATATATGTACTAACAAGTGAGCTATATTGTACTAACTATACTAAATTTAATTAGCTTAGAAACTTAGAGAAAAAAGGTACAGCTAAACATATTGAAAACAAATAATGCTAGAGTAAATTAAGTAGTTTAGTATAGCTGAATCATCAATCTGCCATAGATAGCGCTTTGAGTGGTCACCATTTTTTAAAAGACAAAAATAAGAAACAAAATTCCCTGTATTTTCCCAGTTCGTAAAGAAAAACTAAAAATTCCCTGTATTTTAGGTGATTTTTAAATTCCCTGTCATTTTAGGTAATTTTTAAATTCCCTGTATTTTCCAGGTTTTCCCTGTGGAGTAACAACCCTGCTGAACAGCCGACCGAATTTTCAGTTTACAACTACCAATGTTCAACTTCGTATCCTTGTAATTTTAAACCAAATATAGATGACAAGGGAACTTCTGGATCAAGCATTGGGAGAAATTAGCCTTCATGGAAGATTTCTTGATGAAAATATCCTGTATTTCCGTTACACGGAGAAGAAAACCAAAAAAAAAAAAAATAGACACAGTAAGCCTGATGCAAGGGGACTTTAACCCATGATTCGTCTACCACTGAGGATATTTTACATCAGCACTGTGCGAGCTGGGTACAGAATTCAAATCAATCAGCCATCGCCGGGATTTGAACCTGGTTCACCTCATTGGGAGCCGAGCACTCTATCCCATCTTTCATTGAAAAATTATTTTGAGTATTAAATAAAATATTTCTAAAGGATTGTGATCTGACTGAAAATTTTGAAACAGATATTAATTTTTTTGATAAGTTTATGGGCTCACTCCTGAAGCAGTTTGATGAGACAAAAAATAGTGAAAGTGTGGATGAACTTTTTTCAAGGTATTATATTTATTCAAGTTCGATTATTCGCAGTTTCCAAAAATGAAAATCTCCATTGAAGAATACTCTGAGTATAGAAGATTTAACTAGGAATCTTTTCATAAATATATCAATGCATTCCCCTTTTTATAACATGCTTGACTGTGTTATGCAGACCTTTTGTTCAGAAATACAAACAACTCTGGAATTGGTTTCTTTTATATGAATCAAATCAAATGATGTAATAAACATATCTATCAACTCCCAAATAATTTTTAAAAAACTGTAGAGAATGTATCGAATTGCTTACCTTGTATTAATTAAAAATTGTATATATTAAAACTATATTACATACAATATAAATATATATATATATATAATATACATATATATATATATTAAAAATTTATATACTTGTATAGATTAAAAATAAATTAAAAATTGCCATTGTGGATTTACAACATTCATTTCTCAATAATTTTCCCTTTAATTTCATTTATATCTTTGTCCTTTTAGTTAATTTTCCTAATGATTTTTTTTATATTCATTTATTTTGAAACCACTGCTCCATCTATATTAGAGACCATTTTTATCAAAACAGTCAATCATTTTGTTCAAAGCTTTTTTACATAAGTATCAAAACTACATAAAATATATTACATTTTAATGTTATTTTTAACCAAGTAGTTACTGGGGGAAATTTCATTTTCTACAGACCATTTCTAACAGTCTACCTTGTGTTGCAGACTGCTGGAGGAAAAAAACTCTGCTGCCGCTAAGGACAAATGCTTCCCATTGTCTATTTCATTGCAGTTATCCAAATAATTTAAAATCACATATAGTACAAAGAATAAAATGTTAAAATATTCATTTTGCTACCAAAAAGATATCCTGCATAAAGTGTAAAAGTTGGCAACTATGCATCATGTAATATCATTCTATTAGTATATCATGATGAGTGAAAGCTTAGAATTAATTAACTAAACTTTAGATAAAAAAGATAACCAGAATTGATGTCTTACACTTCAACTTTCATGGGTATGTTTCCTCTAGTTTAAGGCCATACACAAAATATATAAATTTCAAATGTCACGAACATAATTTAGATGCTCACAGACATTTTTTTAAGCACTAGCAAAAGTGCAATGATGTTTATAATTTTTTAAAGTTAACTACTTTTTTAATGATCAATTGTTTTAATATTGAACAATTTTTGTTTATAAATATACTTTATTTTTAAATGCATTCCATTCTGGTTTAAAGCAAAAATGTTGTCAATTGTTGAGGTTTTAAAATTAAACTACAACTATTAATTCATTTTCAACTATAAAATTTGAAAATAAACTGATAAATAAATTTACTATTTACGAATAACCAGTTAGAATATTTAGAAATTTATTGTTATAATTTGATATGTAGAAAATAAGCCTAAGGCGAAACAATTTTTCTTCTATAATTTAATTTGAAAACTTAAATTTTGAGAAATTTTTATAGTTATAAATGACTAATTAATAATTGACTAATGAATATTGCTATAAATGACCATAAAAAAAATTCCGCCTCATTTTACAATAAGACTAAAATTAGTTTTTAAGTAATAACTTTCAATATTATCTTAAACTATGGTTTGACATAAAGCTTTTCATATATTTTTGTTAATTTTTCAAAAAATTTAGTTGAAATATAAATAAAACTGTAATTTCATTGAACCAAAGTTTTAATTTTTAAAATTAAATTTACAAGAGAAAAAAAAATTATACCTTAGGTTTACTTTCAATGTATCACACTACTGGAATAACATTTATAAAAAATATTTTACAAGTAGCAAATTTATTTATTGGTATTTCATTTATTATAATTAATTTATAAATAGTAAAATGACAAAGAGAGACCAAAAATCAAGCTGGAAGACATCTAAAAATATAGTATATTATAAAGAAATATCTTTTCAATTTTTTTGTATTTGAAAAGACATAGGTAAATAATATTACAGGTTTAATGATATATTTTTTTTAATAAATATACGAAATTTGAAAGTTAAGGAACAATTTTTTATAATCTTGTTCACGGCCGACCATAAAATTATGCTGAAAAAAAGACATCTATTTTTACCTAACATATTACTTAACACCCCTGTAATGATTTTTAATAGTTCAAGTCTTGGGGTAGTTTTGAGCACAAGAGAAAAATTTAAAGTATAAAACAAAACTTATTATTTTAGATAATTCCAAACTTTTATATTAAATGTCATACTAGAATTTCAATTAAAAAATAACTTCAATTCATTCTATAAAGTATGTTAAAGTACTTATCTATACATGTGTTGATAAAAAGATTTGTTTTTTTAACTATAGCAAAATATTTGTGGATGGTGTATTAACGATAAATACACAATAAATTTAAAATAGAGAAAATCACGCAAACCACAGCACAAAAACACATTGGCATAGAAGCAAACGCAATTCAACATAAAAGAGAGGAACTGGCAAATTATTATAGTTAGTTAAAAGTCACTATGTGTTGCAAAAGCTCATCATAAAAACTATAATAATCTAAATATCACATATGTTAAGGAATCTTACCAATAGTAGGTAATGTACGACAGTCAATTGTCGCTGTTTCCCCTGCACTGTTTAAAGAGCTTCTAGTTTTAGAAGTATTTATATTAGGTTTTGATGTGAGACTAGAACGAACAGCTGTTGCACCACCACTTCCTAAACTATCTTGAACATATATTTGGTGAGATGGATCTGCTGTATTACTAGTACTTTGTGGTGGACGTGGTAGCCGTCGTCGTAGCCAACCGTGCCGCAAAGCAGCAGGTGGGGTTAAGCGTGCATTAGGATCCCATTCAAGACAACGTTTCAAAAAATCTATAAAAAGAACATCATCACATCCACGAAGAGCTCTAACCCAATCTTTGCTAGCTGGAGGACCTCGCAATTTACCTCTACGTGACCTTCCTCCACTTAGAACCACTTTACCATCTGGTTGTACTGTAGCTGTACAATAACGAGGATAACCTTTCGAATTGATAAAAGTCTTGGCACGTTTAGATTGTTCTATTAGAGCTACAGATGGCATTCCCAAAAGTTCTATCATGCAAGCTAATTGGTCACTTTCATCTTCTCCTGGAAGTAATGGATAACCAGTAAGAAGTTCAGCTAATATACAACCTAAGCTCCACATATCAATAGGCATTCCATACTTTGAACCAAGAATAATCTCAGGAGCACGATAAAATCTAGACTGTATATATGTATACACTCTTTGATCCTCAAAGCAGCTAGATCCAAAATCTATCACCTTAATACCACTACGTCCTTGTTGTTTTAGCAGAACATTTTCAGGTTTCAAATCACAATGAATTATTTTATTTCTGTATAAAGCATCTAAACATTGTAACAATGAATGTGCAAATTTGCGAACTAAAGTTAGACTAAAGCCTTGAAATTTATTTTTCTTTATAAGTTCATAAAGATTAATACTGAGAAGCTCGAATGTGATACAAACGTGATTACGGAATGTGAAATGCTCAAACATATGTACAATATTCATTGTGTTATCTTTATCTTGCTTTCTTAAATGATCTAGAATTCTAATTTCTTCTTGAGCTTGGCGATAAAACCTTTTCTCATTACGAACCATTTTCAGAGCAACGTATTGATTGTTTTTATGATCATAAGCTTTAATGACTTGACCAAAACTTCCTTTACCAATAACTTTTAACATTTCATATCGATATGATATCTGATCATGGGGCACATGAAGATAGGAACCAGTGCTATCATCATAGCCACAGTTCGATGGAGCACCTATAACACCTTGCCTTTTTTTTGCGTTTGCACCAAGAAAATATATGTGCGAATAGGAATAAATTTCCCAATGTTCATATGGAGTTAATTTATGCATGTAAAGTTTCATCACCTGCTCTGGGGTAGCAACAAGAACTTTTGCTTTACTACTTTTGTTGCTTGATGAGCTGTCCCCACTCGTTGCAGGACGGACTTCGGGGAGCTGAGGAACTGCTTTAGACGATGAATGGTCACTTTCGTTTTCGTAAATATGACGATTAGTGTTATTTTGGTAAGCAGTCTTAAAGCCCCCGACTGTCTGACTTTTAATCGGCGGTAGGGATGTTTTAATGTTCTTGTCAGTAATCTGAGGAAGGAATGATTCCTTCGGTGTTGAGCTTTGATTCCCATTTATACTTGTCACTAAAGATCTAGTGCGAGATAAAGGCATATTAAATTCTTTCTCTGACATTACATAGGCTTAGGAAAACAATTTTTAATCGAACAAAAAAGTAAGAGTGAAGAGGAATCTGTCCAAATCTCTCCAATTTAATTACGACGTAAACCATCCTCAGATATATAAATTATGCACAAGCATAATTCCCTACAAGCCAAGAAAAAGCCTTCATCCCGCTAACCTATGTTATGTACATAAAAATCGAATTTAATCGAAACAATAGCAACAAATTTTCACTTCACTTCAAATAAAAGCTAAGATTAAAAATAATACATTTTAAGCACTACAACTTCAACTATCAGGCTTTTTGATGCAAATCATACTAAGGAATCGTTTTTGCTGCATTTGTTTCAAGCACGACAACCACCGTAGTGAAAAGTAGTATGTAGTACTTTATAGGCTATTGGCAACGGTCTGGGAAACATTCCTGAGAATGATCCGAAGATATGCCATCACAATTCTCCAAAAAGGCTCCGAACCGACCGTCGGCAATAGGCCATTGTGTAGCTGTAGTGCGACATAAATAAAGCACTACTACTCAGCATGAATACAGTTCATAAAATAGAGAGATTTTCACAGCATTTAATATCCTCAGGGGTGCCTTTTCCCGTCCGTTGGTGAAAATTTTCAATTCAGTGATATTATTATAATTTTTTTTATAAAAAAAATACATTTTTTATTTTTCGCGATCGCAACACTCGAATACGCCATCTAGGTAGAGACCGGCTTCATGCCTTTAGCCCTTCTCCCTTCCCTCTTCTCCTTTTTTCAGTTGTATAGGAATGTACTACGCTATTTTCTCTTTTCTTAATATTTTTCCTTTTTATATAATAAAAATATTTCTTAAAATTTCCATGATACTTTTATTTAGAGCTATGTTTAATGTAGTTTTCAGTTCCATATAGTTTCTCAAGTTAAAAGATTTTAATCTATATGAAAATCAAGAGAGAAACTAACGTACTTCCTTCCTCTATGACTTTCCACACGCTAATGGGGAAAGCATGTGAAGTGTTGCCATAGGAAAAGAGTTCTGCTCTACGCCACCTGCAGCCCATTTCGATCGCCATTTGAAGGAAAGAGATTTTCTCAACAAGTCATAACTCATCATTATATAGTTTGTCTAAAATAAAAACTCCCCCGGACATTCGTCTTGATCTGTGGCGGTGACTATGGTAACGAGGTATGACTATTTTGAGTAGGGGTGGAGGGTCACTGTTTTGATGCGGTTTTGGCTCAGGTCGGCGAGAAAAAGGGAATCTCTTTCTTCGGTCTATTGTGGTAGTCCTAGAGTGAAGCTACCATCCCCGAAATGCGTCATTCTTGTTTTCATATGAACCAGATGATCTCAGACTTTGTGGCGGGAGGAGTTCTTTGCTTAGGCAAACTATACTGTTTGTGTTTGTGTTTGTTTGTTTATACGAAATTAACGTTGAGGACCCGTCATAGTACAGTCACTCGAAAAAATAGCTGAGCACCGTGACCCTTGCAAAATAAAATNAGTTACTTGGGAGAAAAATGGATGATGTAGATTTAGAGTTCATCTTACCTGCAGTAAAGTAGCCTGAAAAGCTTATATGGTTACTTTACTGGAAGTCTTATTTATTTCAAAGTTTAAGAGTATTGATTTGCAAAAAAGATTTTAAAAAGACAGTAAAATTCATTCAATATCTTTAAGAGAAGGGTTAAGATTGAAAACTTTACCTCACATATTTAATCATCACTTTGAAAATTTAATCACAAATATTCAGTAGGATAATTTAATAGGATAACTTACAAGGAAACTACTTTTAAACATAATTATTGAATATCTATAAATTAATAATTATTGTACAATATCAATGTTTCAAATTTCCTAAGATTTTATTATATAAAATGCAGCATATAAATATACAAATGATGAAAATAAGAATGCCTATTGCCAAATAGATCGTCAATCGTACTTACACCACTTAAGTTTAAACTGGTGTGAGGAATAACAATACAAGTTTTAATTGTTTTTCAGCCATTAAAATTAGAATCTATTACTATTTTACATTTCGAAGGAAATTTCCTTCGAAATGTAAAATAGTAATAGATTCTTAATAAGTTAACTTATTATTAATTAAAATTTTGACCACTTTCTCAGTTATTGGAGTTCATATATTTTAACTGGGGTTCTCTACCTCACAGTAATTTTCGTTTAATGATAGCTTCTATCAAAATTTATCATCAAAAAAAAATTTATCGCTAATCAAATTTACAACTACTTTGAAACTAGCTGGAGTGCTATCATCTCAAAGAGCATTGTGTTAGATCATTTTCTGACCACTTTTCCGAGTGCTACAAGCAGAATTTATCTCCAATAGAAAATTTGACCCCTCTCCTGGTAACTAGAGGTTAAAATTTCAAAAGGTAAAAATTTCATTCACAATTTCTTTCCAAATGTTGCAATAAAAACTTTACTCCCTTTTATCACCAAGCAATTTTCTACCACTTTTTGAAATAAACTGTAATGAAGTTGGCTTCAAGTGAACCAAGGAAGAAGAACATCTAAAAACAAGATACAAAACTCAAACAATTAAAAACACATAGAGAGCTTTTTGACGTCATTAAAAAGAAAAACCTTTGCAACATCATTTAATGTGACAATCCCTTCCTAGGAAAAGAGTTTTACTTTTTGAAAAACAATAACACATCCATCAAATTAAATTTTGGAATAAACATCCATTGACTTGACTTAAATAACATTCATTTATATTGCTAAATTTGTTAATTCTGAAGATATTGAGTGGATGAACCTGGTAAGTGACATTATTTGATTTTTTCCTTGAGGGACAGAACCAGATATGTGACTTGGCAATAAATGGTCAGCAAACTGCCCTAAAAAATCATTCGCTTGGCATCGATCGCTAAGCCAGGCAGTTCGAAGTTACTTGGGAGAAAAATGGAAAATTGAAACAGCATGGAATCAACAGTTATAAAATAGAAAGAAAAAAGAACCTTAAATGATTTTAACATAGAATTTTTTTATGTTAATGCAATTCTTTTGATATATTATTATTGCTATTAGCTGAATACTTATTATACGTACGGGTTGGAAAAATAAACTAAATAATCAATAAATCGGTAATGATCAATAATATTAAATCATGCACAAATCTAAAAGAGATATACTGATATAATTAATTAAGTTAAAACAATTCCAGTATTTTTTATTTATTATTATTTGTTGCTCTTTCTTGTGGCTTTGCGTTATTAGATTAAGCAAAACATGTTTTTAGAAGTTCATTCCATCAAAATAAAGATTAAGATTATTCACTATAATGTTATTGCTCCAGATTGTAAAAATTATCATAATCAACAATCTTCTCTAGTATTTATTCTATTCATCATTATCATCATCATAGTTGGCCAGACAGCTCAATGTGAACCAATGCCTTCCTCTGATGATTTCTCCATGACAACTTCCGATTTATCTTTGATCTCCAATTTTTTTCATTAATTGCGAGAAAATCAGACTCCGACTCCACTAAGTCAGCCCTTCTCAACCGCGGCCTTCCCCGATTTCTTTTCCCAGTGGGACTAAAAAGCAGTATCTTTTTTATTGTGTTGTCGTCACTCATTCGAATCACGTGGGCGATCCAATTCATTCTATTTATTTTTATGTATTTAATAATATCAGGTTGTTTATAAATCTTGTACAGTTCAAAGTTAAATCTCCTTCTCCAGTTATTGTTTTTATTTACACCACTAAGTATACCCCAAAAAATCTTTCTCTCAAATATTGCGATACAATTTTTATTCTATTCAATGGGCCATAAACAGCCACAATTTCCACAGTACCTATTGTAGGAATCGTTGTGCCTGTATTAGTATATGCAGTACCCATTAAAACAACAGCAATTAACAGAAATTAAAATGATATCAGAAATACCAACTACCAAAAATAATTTTATTCGTATTCTTATTTTTGAATAACAAGGCATCGGCTATCTTTAAGATGTTGGTGCGCACTTAAAATGTTAAGTGTTAAATCCGAAATGTTAAGCGCATATGTTATATATTTGGTAAAACTAATCGCAACTTTTCTATAAAAATCGCTACAGCTCAGCGGTGTCAGATTAAGTCTACATATAAATGAATCACAGAGGTAGATGATTAAATTTTATCTTGCTTACTTTATTTTGACAGCAGAGATTGCATAGTTGATGGAAATTATACTTCGGTAAAATTATATCAAGATCAGAATTCCATTTTCATCTCGCTAACCATGAGTTGTATTTATGGTTTTTACCTCCATTTCGAGCAAATGCTGATTAGTTTCGCTTAAAAGAACTCTTTTCGAAGGTGATTTGCTACTTAAAACAGGCGTTCTCTTGTCTTCTAGATTCAAGACTAAGCTGGAAATTTGCAAAGTTGTGATTTACGGTGCAGTATAGAAAAAAAAAAAAAAAAAATGAGCGTTGCGCAACTAATCATGATCGCGCAGTTTCCCATGATAGGAAAAAATATCCTAAATAGTTTCATAATAATAATAAATAGCGTATTTTTTGCATGAAATTGCTAATATTTAATGAAAAAATTGAAAATAATAAATATTTTTCAACAGTTATAGACATTTTTTTTAAACTAATAAAAATATAGTTTTATGCAGTCTTGGACATATCTTTAGAAATAAACCAATGGTAAATACCGGTAAAACTTCTATTACGCGAATATTGAGCTTACGTTGTCTCTGAAACGCTTTTAAGCGATTTTCAGACAAAAGGCTAAATAAAACCAGTTTCTTCCAAATTAAGGTTGCTAAACTTTTACTTCGTGAGCCTAAATATATACATATTTAGTTTAGAACAAAATTAGATTCACTGAAAACAATATTTAAAACCCTCCATGAAAACAAGCAGATGATAAGCACAAAATAATTAAAAATCCTTCTTTAGAAAAGAGTCAATATAACCCCCAAAATTTATGAGTTATGTCTTCACAAATATACAAAAAAACAAAGATTAAGCGAAGTAATAAAAACGAAGAACGTTTAAACTTCAAAGCTTATTTACTAAAATGTCACTTACTTGGTTCTTCCACAAAGCTCTTCAATTATTAGAAACATATTAGTCAGATTCTCGTTTTATTTTGATCCATAACTGTGTTAATACATTGTTATTCTAATCGTTTAAAAGTAAAATTGTGAAGAAAAAATGTGAATTGCTCATAAATAAAATTTTAATACAATTTGATGCATAAAAGGAGTAGAATTCATACTATATAAT